CATGAGCCTATGGTCTTTTCTTTGATCGGATCTGATCTTCTCTTTCTTCTCAGCCTCTGGGCTCAACTCAGATGCCACGTCTTCCATAAACCTTTCTGGCCAAGCTGGCCAGAAACAAAACACATCTGAACAAAACTATTTCCCCAGATGGAATGAAAACTCTCTCCTCTGTGATCCCACAATGGTTTAATGCAAAAGGCATGAATTGTTCTCTGATACCCAAAGTGTAAAAAATGCCATATTTCTTTATTTTTCTAAACCGAATAAAACCATCTTTAAGTCTCCTCTGTCTGAAGTCACTGAGATTTCCAATATCTGGCATTCAGGGGTGGCTCCCTCCTTGTTCTTGGGCATGTCCCAGGATGGTGGGGCTTTCACAGTGCCAGCAAAACTGACTTGCCTGCATCAGCTGTCCTCAGAGGCATCCAATGCAGTTGCTCGCCAGTCGTTCAAAAGTGGCTAGCTCTGATCCGCTGCCCCAGAGCCAGGCTGAGCAGAGGAACCCTCTGCTGGCTCTCCAGGCTGAGGGGGACGTCCTGGTTCTCGGTGCCCCGGCACTCACACCAGCACTACCTCTGCCTGAAGTCTGGGGCACTCTGTGTGAGCGGGTAGAAGTCAGGGCCTCTCAGGAACCTGCTGCTTGGGGAAATCCAACCTCTCTCTTTGGGAAAAGGTATTGGTCCTTCACAGTTTGCATTCAGGTAACCCAGGGGGCTGGATGTGGCCTACGGATGTGTTTTATTTGGTCAGTGTGGTGTTATTACATTTTTAAAAATCTATTGGAGCACTTAAACATTGGAAGAGGTCACATAATTGCTCCAGTCAAGACCCTTAGTCACCACTGGCTGGAGCTGAGTAAGCACTGCCCCTCGGAGCAAGGCATGTGTCCTGCAGTTGGCCACATCTGTGGTGTTACTCAGTCTACTGGCCCCTACAGTCCTTTTGAGTTTGAGAACCTAGCCTAGGATTTTGAAAACCAAGCCTTTTTTGATAATGTACTCCGACCTCAAACACAAAAACCTGTTAGCTCACTGCTGGGGATAAGGATGTACCCGACAAGCACTCCGGGCCCAGCTGCTCTTTGCATGCGGTGTGGGGTAGCAGGAGTGGCTGCAATGGAGACAATTACTTTTTCACTCTCTTCCAATGAGCCTACGGCAGCAAAAGAGGCAGGGACAACGACTGAAACCCCTATGACTGTATTTAGAGCCTCATGTCATGTCATTTTTGCCAATATTAATAGCTAACATTCTTTGGGCCCTTACTAGGTTCCCAGAATTAAAGACCCTTCCTTATACATATTACCTTGTTCAGTTCCTCAGAAACTGCTCCTAAAAGAATGTAGCAGAATCTCAAGAAGGCCCAGCAGCCCAGAGGAGGGGTGAAAGTGAACACGAAGAAATGTAGCAGCTGCTGCCCCTGAAGAGTAGGAGTGGGGGGAGGGTGTGTGTGCAAGCCCGAGGCTGTCCGAGAAGAGGCCCGGACTCTGGACCCAGGGCTCTCCAACAGGCCCTGGGTGTGTGGGGGGCCCTAGCCAGTGGGTCCGCGGTATCAGTAGGTCTGGTGGAAGCAAATGCACCCAGTTACTTCTGTCTCACCCTGGTCTACCCCATTGCCTATTCCAGCTAGCTTGTTCCTCTCTCTCCATTCTCAGTCGCTCCAGGCCGCTTTCTCCCTCTCTGGGCTGACCCCATCTTCTTCCCACTTCCCTGTGCATCCGTCTTCCCACTTCCGTGGCTCCTGACGCAGTGACCAACCCCTCATGTGACCCGTGTGTGAATCACAGGACTCTTCCCACCCGCAGCAACTGGCCGGCACCAGGGCTCTGCAGAGGAAGCAGGCCGCGCATGCGCAGCAGTAGGCGCACCTGCTCGCGGGGTGGGCGGGGCAGTGGACCAGCCCAGAGCATCCCGCCCATACAGCGGGGACCCGCCCTCCGGCTGGGCTGGGATCCAGGTGGTGGACCTGCTTGGGTCCGGACTCCCAAGGGATTGTGGTTCTCATTGCTGATACGCTCCCAGCAAGCTCACACAGCCAAACCTCTCCTTAGGTCAGGGCGCCTGGGCATCGACGTTCTCCCCTGAGCATCAGGAAGTCAGAGCGTGAAACCCGGGTCTGCACTTAGAACGGTGTGACCTTGGGCAAGTGACTCGATCTCCCTGCGTCCCAGGAAAATGGAGTAATAATAGCACGAACCTCGTGGGGGCCATAATGAGAATTCAGTGAAAATTCACAAGAGCCCTTTGCGAAGTGTTTGGCGTGTATCAAACGCATATCCAAATAAAGAATACAGAGCAAACGGTAGGACTGTGTGATGACTGAGGGAAGATTTTACCCTATCGTGTAGGTAATCCCGCTGGCTCCTTAGAGCCACTCTGAGAGGCCTTAAGCTTTATTGTGTCTGTTTCAGAGATGGAGAGACCAAGGCTCAGAGATGTCAGAGATCTCTAATCAGGTCTTAGATTCCATATCCAGCGTGATTCCAACCCGTGGCCTCAGAGTCAAGGGTTCCAGAGTGAGCTCACAGTATATCAACCCTTTGCTTTTTTAACCATCCTATTTAAAATGACACCCATTCTAATGATTGCCATTCCTAGTGAACATCTCAGGTACACATCCGTAGGAAAGGATTTCTTTTTTTGCCTTTCCTTTTGTAGAAAATAAGGAGCTGCTATATTTTCTTTGCTATGACTTTTGAGGTGGTCTCCACAGATTCCAGGCCACCCAATAGTTCCGGAGCCCTGAAGTGAGGTCTACTCCTAGGGGCTGTCCTTTCCACCCTGCCCCTTAGACTCTCTCCCCTGTAGTCACACTGGCCCCTCTCTGTTCCTGGAAAAGCCAAACTCCTTTCTGGCACTTGGTTTCTGCACCTTCCGTATATCTGCCCAGAACACTCTCCCAGTTCCCTCTTGCTACCTTTCACTCATTTCAGGAAGCCTATCCTGACTGCACCCCTCCCCACACACAGGGGTCAGGTGCCCCGTCATTCACTCCCACAGCCCCTTGTCCTGCTTCAGCACTAATTAGCACAGCAACTCAGTGCTGCGTGCGATTCCTTGATTCCTGTCTGTCTCCCCAGCTAGAATCCAGGCTCCTTGGGGATGGTCTCTGCCGACTTGTGCAGCTGGCTGAGGAGGTAATCACCAGCGGCATCACGAGTGCATCTTAAGTCTCCTCACATTTGCAAACTATCTCCTCCTTCTCCAAATGCACCAAGACTATCAATATCTTCCTTGCTGAGCCCAGGCATAAAGAGATGACAGATGAATACTTTCTCTCTCTGAGAAGTCACATGAAGGTTCTGTTAGGGTATATTTGGGTGGGGATGAGAAGATGGTCAAATCTTCATGCCCTGGGGCTAGTGGCTGAACTAGAACATGTGGCCTCTTGTCCTTGTTGCTCACTGCATGACATTGGGAAAGTCCTCTTTTAGGCCTCAGCTTCTTTACTTGTGGCTCAATATAAAATAAGGGTTCAGAATTCAGATTTTATAAGTGGATCTTTTCTTTGTCACTTACTAGCAAAGTACTTATCTTCTGTGGATTTCAATGTTCTCATCTGTAAAATAGTATTATATCTCTTAATATTATTAAGAAAGAGACCTAGCTCACAGAGCTATTTCAAAAACTTAATGAGTATTTATTAATTTTACAACTACCAGCTCTCCCATTCTTTTTTATTTTTATTTTTTAAAATCTTGACATTTACTCTTTCTTTATTGATTGTATAGGGAGAGGAAAGGAGAGGGATAGAGAGAGAGAGAGAGAGAGAGAGAGAGAGAGAGAGAGATGGAAACATCAATGAGAGAGAACATCAATTGGCTGCCTCCTGCATGCCCCCACTGGGGATTTGGCCTACAAGCTGGGCATGTGCCCTGACTGGGAATTGAACTGGCGACCTCTTAGTGCATGGGTTGATGCTCAACCACTGAGCCACAGTGGTCGGGCTCCTTTTTGATTTTTAATGGGCTCTACTTTATTTTATTTTATTTTATTTTTTAAGCCAGAGATGAGCCCTGTCCCATATTTTAAAAGTAAGCTCCCCCATTAACAAATTAATTGCTGCAGAAACTGACCTGGGACCACTTAGATAAATGTGGACTCCAGGAAGGAGATATACTAAGACCAAGGGTAGTCCCACAGCATAGTCTTATCAGATTTGGGACGTAAAAATTTCTAGACTTTCAGTGCCCCAAAAACTAGGATTTGAGTCTTCCTTGTACAGGGCTATAGCTCCAATGCCCAGAATGGAGGCTTCCATACAGCAATGAGATAACAATAAAAATTTGCCAATGAATGACACACAGCCCGACAGCAAGTCTAGTGCTCAGTTCTCTGAGCCTCAGTTTTTTTCATCTGAAAATGGAGATGAAAAGCAACGCCCAGTTATTGTGAGAATTTAATGAGAAGGTGCATGTCAGGGGCTTAGCATGGAGCTTGACGCCTAACAGTTCAGAACGGTGGATTTATGCATAGATACCCAGAGAGATGAGACTGTGTCTATAAACCCACCGCACGTTGTGTCCCGGTGTGGGTGCTACTAATAGAGATCCAGCTTCGGAGTTCCATTTATGGGCAGGGCAAGAATGAACGGCTACCAAAAAAAAGGAAAGACAGGACCATAGCTGGATTTCAGGAAGATGGAGAGTGTTAGTAGCCTGTAGCCAGGGATTCAGGTGCGGAGGAAGCGGAGGGGACTTCAGGGCCTCGCGCTCCGGGAGCGCGCGGTTGCCGAGGGCGCGCGGCGCGTGAGGTGAGGGGGAGGGCGCGGCTCTGGCTCCAGCCAGAGACTGCCTCGCGTCCAGCCGCATCTCGGCGGGCGGGGCCGAGCCCTCGGGCCGCAGTGCGATTGGCGGAGGCGCGCGGGTGACGCTGACGGGTGGCGTGAGGCCCCGCCCCTGGCCGGCCCCGCCCTCGCGCGCGCTCGCCTGCGGGTCGGCAGCCTCGCTCTGGCTGGTGCGGCGCCCCCGCGCGGAGTCCGCGCGTCAGTCGGTCCCTGGAGCTGCTGTGGGGCGGCGGGTTGCAGCCAGCAGAGCGCGCCGACCCGGGGAGGCGGCGGTGTCCGCGGGCGTCGCGTGAGGAGGCTCGGAGCCTGAAGACTCGCGCCGCGCAATGGCACCCATTGGCCTCAAAGCCGTGGTCGGAGAGAGTAAGTGGAGTCGGGGTCTTCTCCGCAGGCGGGGGCTGCGGCTGCCCGGGAGGAGCCCGGCGCTGTACCTGCCCACAGCGCCCGGGCCTCCGGGTTGGCTGCTCGCCCCGCCCGGCCGGGGGCATCTGGCTGGGAGGGCTCCGTTATTCCGGCGCCGCCCTCCGAGGGCAGTCCCTCCGGCCTCCTGCGGCCCGCGCCCCTTCCCTTCTTTCCCCGCTCTCCCCTTCCCGAATTCCACACCCTCCCCGCCCTCCCCCTCCATCCCGTCCCTCCTCCTCCCCTCCCGCCCCTTTATCCCCATGCCTCCCTTTGATCCCCACTCCTCTCGTGCCTCCACCCCTCGCCCCGTCTCTCCCGTCTTCACCCCTATTTCTTTCCTCTTCATTCCTTTTCCCTTCACCCCCGGCACCCCATCCCTCCCCCTTCACCTCGCCTTTTACCCTCTGCTGTTCATTCCCTCCCCCTTCTGCACCTCATCACACTCTCCCCTGCACCCCATTCTTCACTCCATCACCTCCCCCCATTTCCCTTCTCACCTTCCTTTATTCCCTAAGCCCCTTGATGCCATTCCTTTTTCTTTCTCCAGTCCCTCCCACTTTCCCACCCTCCTTCGTGAATCGTGACGAGCGAAATCCCAGCCTGCGCCTCCTCCCCCTTCCTCCTCCCTCCGGGGAGCCGGGGCCGCGGTCCCCGGCTGCAGAGACCCACCTGGGAGCGGCTCCGCGCGCCCAGCCGGGGCCGCTCCTGGCAGCTGGAGAGAAGCCAGTTTTCCGGAGGCTTGGCTCTGCCGGGCTGAGGCCGTCGCTCTCCTGCTTCCGTTCCCGGGTCTTGGTTTCAAGGGCGGGATGTTCTCAGGGTCCTGAACCCTTCCAAATCACACCAGGGATGAGGAGAACTGCCCTGTGCGGCGGGAGGTGGCCCTGCCCAGCACCGCAGTCTGCAGCCTCCCTGTTTGCACGGCTCAGCCTTTGCTTGGCTGCACGTTTCGGGCTGTTCAGATCACGGGTGCAGGGAGGAAATGGTTGTTTATGGGTTTGGATGAAAGGCTCGACGTAAATGGATTTTTAAAAAAAGGATGGTGGTGAGTGCCGGCTGCAGCGGAGCGAGGGCTGGTGTTGGTAATATTGGGGAAACGGCGTCCTCGGTGCTAAGATTGGTGATGTGTAGACAGACCGTGCCTCTTCAGTATTTTGCCTATTTCTTTAACAACAACAACAACAACAACAAAAATGTGTAAGGATTGCTGTGGTTTTTGCTTCCTCTTTTGGAATGAAGAGAAAATTAAAACTGGACTTTTCTCTGGAGGAGAGGATGAAAAAGGAGACAGAATAAAAATGGTGGAAATTAGTTTCCTTTCCAGATTCTCTCCTGTTATATATAGCGCACATTCTCCTCTCTCCTTTGCTACCAAATGTTTTTGACTGTGTAGTGTTCCATTCGAGCATCATTACTGTTTTTTTTTCTTTTCCATTCTTTTCATCGATGTATAGGAAATATCCCCACTACACCAGAAGAAAATTGTTATAAAAACTGAACCCCACACGAAGACGTTTTTTGTTTTTTTTTGTTTTTAAGTGCCTGCCTTCCCCATGCAGTAAAAGTTCTGAATCACATACTTTCTATTTTCTAAGGAGAATCAAGGTGTTTAGGGCTGGAAGGACCCATAGGGATCCTGTAACCTCAACACCCTCTTTTTAACCCTGGGGGCGGTGGGTGGGGGCGGGCAGAACGAGGTCAGAGCAGTTAAATGACATGCCAAAATTAGTGTTGATTAATTTCTAAAACCTGGTGTCCATTTCCTTGAAACATTAGTAAAAACAATGACTTTCTTCATTATTCTAGATATATCCTTTACTTCCAATACCTTTATAAAGTGGTATGGAATATGGAATGGGAAGAATGTGAATGTTACTTTATATTCTTTCAAATGTTTTGAATAAGGTGTTTTTAAAACAAAATCCTTCAGTGCTACAGAAATCTGGTTTTTGCATCCTTGACATTTGCCAAGACCTTGTTGGCCCAGGTGGCTCCTTAGTTCTTCCCTTCCCTCATTTTATTTATTTTATTAAAAAAATTTTTTTTTCTTTATTGATTTTAGAGAGAGAGGAAAGGAGAGGGAGAGAGAGATAGAAACATCAATGAGAGAGAACATCGACTGGCCACTCCCTGCATGCCCCCCACTGGGGACCCCCCCACATACTGGGCATGTGTCCGGACCAGGAATCGAACCTGCGCCCTACTCGTGCATGGGTCGACGCTCAACCATTGAGCCACACCAGCTGGACTTCCCTCATTTTTTTTTTTAAGAAGGAAGCATAAAGGGAGAAATAAATCAATATGGAATATGGCCAAAATTTATTTTCTGAAATAAAACAAAGCTAGTTTTTATGAAAACAAAAACAAACCAATTTTATATTGGGGAATGTGTGAATAGTGTACTATTCCTTTAACAGTTGAGTTAGATATACATTTGGGGGAGAATATTGCAGTTCTTTGTCAATAATATAGGTTAATTCTGGCTCATAATTTTGGATGGGGTTTCTAGCTTTGCCATTTTCTTTTAAAATAAAAGCAAACTAAAGATTTTTTAAAAAAACAAAATGCAACAGTTTAAATGTCACTTTCGCCCTGGCCTGTTTGGCTCAGTGGTTAGAGCGTCAGCCCGCGGACCAGAGACACCCGGGTTTGGTTCCTGCTAAGGGCATGTATCTCGGTTGCAGTTTGTCCCCGGCCCTGGTTGGGGTCGTGTGGGTGGCAACCACTCGATGTGTCTCTCTCTCTCTTCCTGCCTCTCTCCCTCCCGCTCTATCTGAAGATAAATGCAAAAATGTCCTCGGGTGAGGATAAAAATAAATAAATAAGTAAATAAAATAAATGTCACCTTCAAGCCTGGTCTTCCCAATCTAAATGAACAACCCACAGTCACTGTTTATCATATTTCCTCAATAATTTTCTTCATAGCCATTAAAATGGTCTGAAACGATCTTGTTGAATGTTTTTTGTTTGTTTGTTTTTCGTTTGTATGTGTTTGATTGTTTCATCCACTGGAATGTTGCTTCCTATAGAGCAAGGTCTCTGACATGTTCACCACTGGATCCCACGCTCGAGATGGTGTCTGGCTCATAGTAGGCAGTCAGTGAATACTTATTGAATGAATGAATGAAGGATACAACGGAGAGCAAAATAAATGTAGTTTTGACTTCTTTTGTCACATGGTTCTGAGTTGAGTTTTAGAATGGCAGTAGGTACAGGCACAACAAAAGTAGAGGAGATGGGTCAGCATTAGTTGTTCACTCAACAAATGTTTGTTCAGAGCTGGTTAGGAATCACAGGAGAATGCACAGCAATTAAAATATGGACACTCTCCTACTGTGTGACAGACTTAAACTATTCTGAATTCTGAAATGCTTTCCCTGTCCCAAGTTTTCCTTGTCACTTTGCCCAACACACTTAGGGTCTACTCATTGTATTGCACTTCTTTGTGTTGGTCTTGCCCACTGGACCAGAAGTTCCTTTGGAGGAGAGTAGGACCTTGTGTTATTCTTATGTCTATCTTTAATGTCATGAATTAGTGCTTGGTATTCAGTAAATATTGAATGAATGACTTAATCTTGTATATAGCAGTTCAGAGAATGGACTCTGGAAATAGATTACCTTGGAAAAAATTCTGATCAACCACTTATAGCTGTGTGACTTTTGCAAATAATGGAACCTTTTGTGCCTCAATTTCTTAATCTACAAAAAGGTAGTAATAGCATCTACGTTGTGGGGTTCTATAGTATTAAATGGTGTAATGCAGATGTATAACATTTAGCATAGTTCTTGGCATACAGTAAAATCAGTAAATATTATATGAAGAGATCCACAAAGAGGGTCAGTAAAAGTGTTAGAGGATTTTGAGAAGAGGCAGACTACCTCTGTCCTGTGGGGCCAGAGTTTTGGGGGAGAAAGCAGTCTGGGATAAACTTGAAAAGGGTGCAAATGACCTGGAAGAATGGACCTGAAGAACATATGGAGGATTTGTAATTTGACCCAATTTCTGTTCCTAGTCCTACTAATTTACTTACATTTCCCCCATACATGTTGTTTTCTCCTCTCTACATAGAGATTGTAAGAGAAAGGACAGTTTTTTTGTGTGTGGCATTTTTATATCAAGTTCATGTTACTAGAAGATGCTTCAATTATGTAAATCCATGTTGCATAATCCAGAGTTTATTCCTGTTCCCTGAAGTTCTGTCAGTGTGTTACAAAGATTCAAGGATTACAAAAGGTACTGTTTGATTTTCTTGTTTCCTAGCTGTTAGCAGTTTCTCCTCATGTTCGATTATAAGAATCACATTCTTTTGGAAAAGAATGTATTTTCCATTTGTACATTAAATACATACCTTTTCCAAATGGGGCTGTGATTCCAGGGATATGTCACAAGTTGAGAGGACACCTCAATAGAAGCAATCTCATTCATACACTTTTTCTTTAGAGAAAGTATATTAAGTACATGTAGCATTTTTCCCATTTTTAAAATTAAGGTATTATTTACACACAGTAAACTTCACCCCTTTTAGTGAACAGTTCTTCAAATTTCAGTTCATTACATAGAGTTGTGTAACCACCACCATAATCAAAATACAGAATGATGTCATCACTCCCTCGAAATTCCCTCTGCTGCCCCTTTCAAGTGAATCTCTCCTCCCACCCCCATCCCCAGCCCCTAGCAAACATGGAACTATTCCTATAGTGTTTGCCTTTTCTAGAGTGTCATAGCAATAGAATCATAGAGTATGTAGCTTTTTAAATATGACCTCTTTAACTTAGCATAATGCATGAGAGAGTCATTCATGTTGCCTGTATTTGTAGTTTGTCCCTTCTCATTGCTGACTGCTGTTCTCTTGTGTGGATGTACTACAGTTTGTTTATCCATTCCGCAACTAAAGGACGTTTGAGTTATTTGCACTTTGGGTCACTTGCAAATGCTTCTGTGAACGGTCACACACAGGTTTTGG